CACACACACACACACACACACACACACACACACACACACACACACACCTGATTTTACAAGAGAAATACAGAAAAGTAAGTGAAGCAGTAAACAGAAGGTGATTAAAGTAACCTTTATCAGTATTCTTCAATAATAAAGTGTTGGCTGGGTTCTCACCACTCATCCATTGTTTCTTTACATTCCCCTAAAACATCGTCACTATAAAAAAAATCAGGACAAGGTGCCAAAACACTTAGTACCACTTAGGCCAGTGGGATTACAGAGTCGGGGCTACCTCTCAGCTATCAGGGATTTTAGCTCTGGGCTGTCACACTGTTTCACACCGCTGCATTCACAGATGGATTGACGTCATCTACAAGCAACCTTTAGAATGATTCTACATTATTCTTCTTGGCAACAAATCACAATAAAAGACCACAACCAACAATGTGATTCTGCAACCACTGTATTTACGTCAAAAACATGGTCAAAGAGAGAGAAGAAAGAAAAACACATACACGTGTACAGTATCCATATAAACATACAGTATATATACATACATATAAACACATATACTGTGTATATATATATATACATATATATAGTATATGCTGGGTCCCTGCCCCCCCCGGCTGATAGGACACTACTCCCAGCAGCAGTAATGTAATTCTTGCCTCATTTATGGTCTGATGAACAGTGAATCCATCAAATTCACTGCCCTGTGGTCACTATGTTACAAGCTGTAAAAAAAGCTGTCATATTTGTAGATGCTGTGTCAAGGCTTTCGTCATACGGAAGTGGGCGTGGTTAATCTCTTAGCCCACTTTCTTGAATTTTTCCAAATTATGCAGTAGGTGGACTTAGTTTCAGACCTGGGGGTGAAGTTACACTGTAAATTGGGACACAACGGAAGATCATGGTCAGCTGGTCAGTGTAGTTTCCACCAAATGTTACTCAAGCAGGAGCAAATACATTTGTTGGGAACGGATTAATACACTTTTCCCTTTCTAAGATAAGATAGAAAATGATTTATCCAAGGGGAAATAGTAGAATTAGTGAGTATCTGTGACAGCAGGGCAGTGTCTGTGGGACTGAGGCAACATAAACTAGTGAGGGATGAAGGAACTTGTCCCCCAGTGCAACACTGTGGCTCTTTCATGTGTTTTTGGACGACAATGGAGCTCACTGGCACAGAGGAATAACATGCATAAGGCTTTGATTCACAGACCGCACTTGTATTGTCAATTCCTTGTTGGTTTCAGTTTTTCCATGGCATTTATTGACAAGAAAATATAGAATATCACCAGACATGTCCTTGAAACAGAAAGGGGCAGAGTCTGTAGAGTTCATTTTGAACAATACACAGGCCAAATGTTATTTTAACAGCAGAGACATTAGTAAAAAACATACAGCAGATCATGTGCCCACATATTCTTCATCTGCTTGGTCCTCCTCATAAAATTACAAACTGTCTTTTCACAAAAAAAAACAAGACAAGAGTTCATACAGTCAGATATCCACTACAATCACCATGATGACACTTACTGTATGGGGAGGTCATTGTGCAAATGAATGCATTCACATGTGAATTTATGTTTTATATCATAACATGCAATGTCAAGACAAGTATTTGTGCGTCAATGAACGTTCCTGATCATTTTGACTGACATTTCCTCATCATCTCATATTATGTTGAACAGGTAAAGCAGCCGTTAAGAAGAGATGCTTTGATGTTTGATAAACCACAACTTTGCTTAATGCATGTGTTGCAAACATATACACATGTTCAATACTATAAATGAGACCAAATAAGTTAACAGGCTCTCATTCTTTTAATTTCCTCTCATCAGTTAAACAAACAGAATGACCACCAGTCATATCAGATTCTATGTTATAAGTAGAATACAAACATTCAGGCTCCCTCATGTGGCTCAAAGGTTTACTGCAGATAGAAATGTTGAACAAAAGAGGATGGAAAAAAATTCTGCTCATTTATTTGACGACCCACCGCAAATCTGTGAGGACAATGCCACTCATGCGGTCATCATTCCCATGCATTTTCATGGATTTGTTGGAATTATTGATTTAATAATAATATCTTTGGATATTATACAGTGGACATGGTAGTAAAAACATGTTATATGAGGAGTGTGAAGATATTTCTGGTGTTGATGATAAACTCCAGAGCACATCAGGATACAGCAGGGCTGGGTGATCAGAGAGCAGAAAGCAAGAAATGTCTCCCCACAGTGGCAGGAAGCAGTAGTGCGGGTGTGTTTTTTTGTCACAGCTCACAGACTAACTGGGGCAATACAGAGTGCTCCTCTCTCTCACACAAACGAGTACACGAACGAACCTGAACCCCGACATGCAGGGAACGACATACGCACATTTACTCATTCTACTCACACGCAACAGATGCAACAACTCCCATGCGTCTCCAGTGAGGGCGTCTCGTAGGTGTGTCCCTCAGACACACTTGGCCTCCATGTCGTAGAGTTGAAGGAGGTCAGAGACCACAGCGTCGATGTGTGCTTTGGTCACGTCCACACACAGCACCTACGCAAAAAAAAACACAGGCTTCAGTTCCACACCTAACTTCAACTAACATGGACATCAAAGGTCCACACATTGTTCAAACAATCTTCAAACGATCTTGTAGCCTTGAGGCCGGAAGCAGAAAACCATAACAAATCCTGAACTTTTCTATTTGCATTTAGTGACTTACAAAATCAAAGAGACCTCATTGGCCACCAGCCTTCAATTACAATGAACAATTACACGAGGCACTTCTGCTCTGAAGATTTACAGAAATGTTTTTATTAATGTGCACTGTCCCTCATCAAATAAACCAATAAATAACAAAAAATAAGATGGAGCTGGATGGTCAGGTGATAATGTCCCTGTGGTTAAAGGGCACAGTGGTACAAAGCTGTATGGTTGCTGTTGCAGGGGCCACCTGTGCACGGCTACAGCTAGTCCATCATACTGTACATGGCCCTGACGGACTAATTTAATTACACATGCATTAAATTCCACCAAATGTGAGATAGGATGGAACATTGTATATCCCAGAGGTTTCTTTAAAATGTCACGAGAGTTTGTCATTTTACTGCAGTTTGCGACAGACACCTTCATTCCTGTTTACAGCAGTGTGTCGTGTGGAGGCTCTATACAAGGCACACCCCCTTAGATAACTTATTGGACTAACTAATCACGTAGTGTTGGTGCCTAACCCTAACCAAAACATGACTAGTTCAATTAAGCCTGCTGTAGAGCTTTCTTTGGTCTTTTTCTTGCCTCTCTCATTAATGTCCTCCTTGCCTGCTGTGAGTATTGGTCCTCTCTTGGCAGGTTTGTTGTGACGTCATATTCTTTCCAGTTTATAATAATGGATGTAACGGTGCTCTGTTAGATCTTGTGACCGTCAGATCACGTGACACTTATACTGCACACAGGTGGACTATAGTCAGATTTCTGCTAACTGATGATGTTATTGGTCTACCCTAACTGAGACGGAGTTGTTTCGTGGCGACTTTTTGGGTGAATTTTTTGTGAGTTTATTAGAGCGTGTAGAACCTAGCTCGAACACATCTCCCATCTGAAACTACCGCCACACACACACACCTGCTAATTTGATACCATCTTAATAAATCCACCTATAACAGCCTCTGTGGCACACACACATAATCATTATGAACACTTAACAGGGAACGCACACCTGCCACCACTCCTTCTCCCCGACAGGCAGCTCCACTCCGTAGCTGTTTAGAGCCAGGTGCAACGTTGCTATGGCGATGTGTTGTGGTATGTGGCGGATGCACATGGCGCCATGGTAACAGTCTCTAAGCAACGCCCAGGAAGTCTCAGCAATGGGAGTTCGAGACCAAGCGTGGCGGTTCACGAGTGACTTCACGGACAACAGGTAGTGGAGTAAATACTGGAGAGAAAAACACAATGTATTACTGTACATTATGCACAAATGGATTGTGTGAACGGGGATCAGCCAAACACAGGTCAGCAAAATCATTTTGAGTTGGCCTTTCTGTCACTAGACAACAGAGTGACTTACAATTTCTGGACCACTGAATGCAAGAAATAGAATGAGGAAATTAGAAAAGCTTACGAATATCAGATCAGCTAAGAAAAGTGAACTCAAATCTGAAAACACTCCTTTGACCCAGACCATACTGCAACGGCACACACACACACACACACACGCACCTTGTGAGGGTGTTCAAAGGAGACTTGGAAGTTGAGCTGTCGGAGGATGAGGAGCTCACACTGCACCACGCTGTCCCTCAAATCCCAGAACTCCTTGTCACATTCTAGAGGAGCACTGCCACTGTTGAAATACCTGTGAGGGAGGAATGGGAAGTGAAATTTGACTTTACCAGCTAAATAAAAACAGACACATCTGATGACGATGATGATGATGACGATGATGATGATCAGTTGATACTTATCATGAGTTCGGCATCAAATACATGCAAACATTGGCTAGTTTACTAAGACGTGTAAAGCAGGGCCACAATTAAAAATATATTAATTATTGGTTTATTTATAAATTAGTCACACCATTGAACAATTAATCTCATTTCTCACATTGTGTCTATCACAATTTCCCAGAGTCCAACGTGACACGTTTAATGTCTCGATGTGTCCACCTAACAGTCCAAACCCAAAACATATTCCACTGAAAATGACATAAAAGCAAAGTCAACAGTCAAAGGCTCCAGAACAAGTTAGTAAGTGGACTCAACTTTAAGAAAGCATGGACGAGAACGAGAATAATAGACAGTGATCAAACGTATCCTGTTGATGAAAACTGTGTAATATGTTTAAAAGCTGCAGAGCAAACAAGTGAGTAAAGATTGTTCCTAATCGTTTATTTTTAACTTCCCATTCAAAAGAATATTCCTGCTGAGCTGTCTCAAGAGTTCACAGACACGGTCCTGGTTTATTGGTAAGAACATCGTTGATCATGTGAAATCAAACTAAAGCTGAAACACTTTGTCGATTAACCGATTGATTAGTTGATGGAAAGAAAGAAAAAAAAGAGGCCAGAAATTCACTGGCTTCAGCTTCTCAAATGTGAATATTTGCTGCCATCTTTGTATTCTGTGAAAGCAAGCGGAATAAATTTGGCTTTTGGGCTGTTGGTTGGACAGAACAGGTGATTGGAATATGTCAGCTTGGGCTTTGGAGAATTGCGATGGATATTTTTGGCCACAATTTATCACATCGACCACACACATATCGATTTCCCACCATAGAAACAGAATGCATTTCTATGGTTTCCACTTAGTCTTGTTCACTATTTTCTGACATTTTACAGAACAAACAATTAATCAAATATTTGTAAAAGTATTTCACACACAAATCAATGTAATTAGTTAGTTCTATATGATGACAATCTATTATGTTATTGGTTTGAATGAAATGCACTCACCGTTGAGTTCAGAAAGTCAAGACAGAACCTCTCAACTAACATTCCACCTTAAAAAGGTGACTAACTGTTTCCATGTGAATTAGGTGAAGTGGTACTTCATCATAATAGCAGACAGTTTGCTGAGTTTTCTTTTTGCTCCCAGCAGTATGATTTAAAAGTGGCCATGAAGATCCGTGGTCACTGCAGGTAGTGTTCACTCTTCACCAAGCATCTTACCTATGGCTTACGTTGAGGATGTCACGGGTCCTGGTGTGCTGCTCCTCCACTTTGCCAGCCAGGTACACACAGCTCATGGCCACCAGGTAGGGTTCATAAGCATGCACGCTGGCACGTTCCCAGAAGCGGTGGTACAACACGCAGGCTGTGGCTACGGGCACCGAGCGCATCCCCAGCTTCACTCCTGAGCAGGGAGGACGAGGTCGGAGTCAACTCGTTAGAGGAGCACTCATTTCTAAATCAAAGTTGTATCATCTTTGACTGATTCATGCTAAACATATGCATGTATTGCATTGGTTGTAATCTATTCCAGATCAGCAATATGTCCTGATAATCACACGGAACTGCCATTAAAATTCAACTTACTTCACATTCTTTATTTGAATCACTGAGAAAAAAATCTGTGCAGCAGGCCAGTATGATTATGGCTCTACTTGTCCATTTCTAACTTGCTTACAAATATCACAATCTTCCTCCATTCAAAAAAAAAAAAAAAAAAAAAACCACAGTAGTAAACAATCAACAGTGTAGAGGCAAAAGCAAAGCTGAATGGGTGCTGTCTGAGGGATCAGATGTGTGGTGAATTTAACAATAGACCTAAATAATTAAGAAAAGCAAGCATAGTTACATTAAATTGATACATCCTCTCTGTATCCACCTCGACAAGAAAAATAAATCGGATAAAAATTCTAATAAAAAAAATACGTCAAAAAAATAAGTAGAAATTGTAACTTACTAAATTAAAATAATGCGATAGTAAGTCCTTATTATCTCAAAAGTCAACAAAAGCTCTCCAATATCTCGTCATGTTTACGTAGCAACTCAGAATGTCAAATTATTCTTTTCATGGTTACTATGCATACATTCTTTTCCTTAGTACACTGTGAATATACTGAGGAAATGAATTGTTGACACACACACACACACACACACACACACACACACACACACACACCTCCGTGGTTTACCTGTCTCCATAATGAAGCGACAGACGCGAAAGTGTGTTTTTATGTCCCGGTCTGACTCTGCATCCCCACCGGAGTCTCTCCTGCCCACCAGCCAGTCTCGGGAGGCCGGTAAAAGAGAGGGCGGTAAACGAGAGGACGGACCCTCCATGGCTCCTGGACCATCAGCAGGACGTTGTAGAGTGTATCGTGACTGTCGACAGGGGGCAGCTAGCGTTAGCTTTAGGTTGGTTATGATATGCCCTAAGAGTTTCTTTGTAACCCGCTGTAAAATCAGCCACCAGTGGCTGCAAAGTTCCGCTACGACAGGCCTTGTGTTTCTTCCTAATTTAGGAACGTTTTAACTAGCTTCGGTCTAGCGTTAATGTGTTGCTAGCATATAACCATACTTTCGAGACGGTTACTTACCCGGAAGATAAATAGTCGTACTTCCGGTCAATTCTCCAACAATAAATTAATTTGCGAATATCTTTCGAAACAAGAGGATAGAAAGGACACTTTGTGCAGCACGCAAAAACACATTAAAATTGAAGTTGTTCGTGCAAAAAGGAAAAATATCTAAATACGTCGGTCCTTCTAATTAACATACCACAAATACTTCCGATTATCTTCCAAAGTAAAATTATCATTTGGGGACAGGGAGCTAAATTAATTAGAATAATGGCATTTGAACAGCGTATATAGACAGCAGCCACATACATTTATTGTTTTTTGTTTGTTTGTTTTTTTCTTGCGTATGCACCCAGTGCACCCAGTTTCCCGTGTGTTGTTTTCAACTACGGTCAAGTCCGGAGCGAGCGAGATACTTTGCAAAGTTAGCGAAGGGATCGACGTGAGACAACTTCCGGATATCAAAATATGGTGTCAATAAAGCATATATACAAATTGCATATATGGAAATAACATTGATTGAACTTTATTTACATTAAGTGTAAAACATGTTACCTGCATCTCGTGAGTTAAAGGAGACAATACAATAAAATTGTGCGTGAAATGTAGTCATTCTTTGATTTGAGATTTGCTGCAAAGATAATTAAATTAATAATATCTGTCTGACTGATATGTATGTGTTCAGGACATTTCTGACCACACCCATATCAAAAATCAAACATCTTACCTGTACCAATTAAGATATTTTACGGAGTAAAAGTCCTACATTTTTACCTTCAAATAGCTAATGTCAGAATTCTTTAAGGTGCTATAAAGATATTTTTCTCAATAATTCCAGACAATGACTTTAATGTGTTCAGGACACCTCTGACTCCAGTCAAATTAAAAATCTAACATTTTTAAACTACCAATTAAGAGATTTAAGTAAATGTCTTACATTTCTACCAAAAAATAGTTAATATATTAATATTTGAGGTGCTATAAAAAGTATTTTCTCAAAGTGCCAAACAATGACTAATATATTTGTGTTCAGGATATCTCTAAATCAACCATTTAAACATTTATTTTTCTACTGTAACAAACAGAGTTTTTACAAAGTAAATGTCCTACATTCCTACAGAGAAATAGCTATACTATCTGAATAGTTGAGGTGCTATGAAAATAGTTTTCTCAATAATTCCAGACAATGACTGATTCATTTGTGTTTTGGACATCTCTGACTACAGACTTACTGAAAGTCAAAAAATATTATTGTTCTAATTAAAATATTTTACGAAAGTAGAAGTCCCTATTTTGAACTGTGTATACATTTATGAATATTTTAAGTGCTATAAAAATTATTTTGTTGATAATTCCTGACTCATTGTGTTAAGGACATCTCTGACTACATCAATAATGAAAATCAAACATTTGTAATGTACAAATTAAGAGCTTTTTTTTTAAATCGGGCAAAATACAGGTAATTAAGGCCACCACCCGAACAACATAAGAGTGTTGCATTGGAAAAAAACTGACTTTTTGTGGAATTTTTATCAACACAGACAGCAACTCCAGTCAGAAGTATTTGCTTTTTTAAGCTGTGTCCATCTGTAGGCACTGGGCATTAAACCTAGCAACAGCTGTCACACTGAACCTGAAAAAGGGCAAATTAACCACCTTTAAAAGACAGAGGTTCCATGCCGTTTAGTCAGTTTGATTTAAAGCAGGCTTTGTCAAGGTTTCTGAGTTTTAATACACTTTAACCAAATGTTCCATTTCTGTTTTCATGTTGTAGCAACTTATACTGTAATAACTGCGCACAATGTAATCATTTAAATGTAATAAAAGTCCATAATGTAATAATCAGCGCACATTGTAAATAAACCGTTTTAAGCATAGGGTAATATGTTTTACATTATTATCAAAATATTACATTATAAACAAAGCAAAAAAAACTGTTGAACAATGTTAGAAACTTATAGTGCATGGTGTAGTAAAAAAACTTCAGATATTAGCTATTAGAAGGTACAAATACAGGACTTTTTTAGTTAAGATGTTTGATATTTAATATGGATATGGTCAGAAATGTCCTCAACACATAAATATCAGTCAGTCAGATATTATTCATTGTTAATATAATTATCTTCACAGCAACCCTCAAATCAATGAAAGACTTCTGTTAGAAAAATACAGAATGATACATAAGGTTTGTATTTTTCCATAATGCTTAGAAACAGACTGTGCATCTGTTTCAATATAGCCATGACCTTGCTAATCACAGATGTGTTTTTGAAGACGGATATCACATTCGCTTCAAGGAGGTGCGCGCCAGGACAGGCGCCCACACAGCCACACAATTGACAGCTGTGTCAACCGAAGAAGATGGTTCAAACTGGTCCAAACCTTCACGATACCATGTTATGAATCTTGTTTGTCACAGTGTATAAAAGACAAGGACTTAGAGACAGAGCTCTGAGCAGCAGCTTGACGCATAACTGTATGTGAAACAACTCTGCTCCTTCTTGCAAGAATAAATCTCCTGATTATTGATTTTACACTTGGTGTCGAGTAGAATTTTTCTAAGAAGTACATTCCACACATAATTTAGCTGTATTTCCCCTTTAACTCACGAGATGCAGGTAACTTGTTTTAAACGTGATGTGAATGTAGTTCAATTAATCTTATTTCCATATATGCAATTTGTTTATACGCTTTGTTGACACCGTATTCTGAAAACGTCGATCCTTTCACTAACTTTGCAAAGTTCTGGATCTGGGCCGTTTGAATGCGTTTACCATGAATGTCAGTATATAGGTGCACTAACATTTCAGTGTGGCTGATTTGGCCACAGTGCTAGTTTCCCATTGGCCGTTAGTACGTCCGGAAAGGATAGGCCTGTTTGATCGCGTTGCTATGCAACGAGTCAACAAAAACAGACGCAGATGCTAGACAGATGCAGACATGTCCATGTACTCAGCAAACCAGGTAACCTTTGTGCGAGCTGAGAAATACAAATTAGGGACATTACACATTCAGCTGTTGTGTTTTACTCTGACGGACCTCGTGTTCACTTCCACCCTCAGTATGAAAGCGCCTTCAAGCCGCAGAGGCTGCAGAACTGGTGCGAACCGAAGCAATTCAAAGAGGTAGCCTAAACGTCATACATCAGTACTTTGCTGATGTATTAGCTATACTGCTTGTATTTCATATTACCTGGTAGTTTGAAGAGTAGCATTGCCATCTGAAAATGTGTGTGTGTGTGTGTGTAGAGACCCGCTGCACAGGAGGGTCACATCACCTTCATTGCTGATAATAGAGGACATCTGCTCCCAGGAGTGAAGAAGGTTAGAATATATCAAACCTATTTTTCCCCTCTTCATGAAATATTGCTTTCATTGTGAATCTATGTTTGACTCCACTCCTGTGTGTATGTGTGTGTGTGTGTGTGTGTGTGTGTGTGTGTTCTGAAGAGGGGCAAGGCATGGCCAGACTTTAAGGGGACCTGGGACCTACCTGCTCGTATCCCGACGCACCACATCAACCCTACAGGCCGCTCTGTGGAGGGCCTCAATAGGCTCAAGTCCTGGGGCTTTGACCTACAGCACTCTGGCAGCAAAAACACAGACAGGCTGCAGGCCGGTGTTGGCGCGCACACTACGCAGGTAAGTTTCTGTAAAAAGTATCAGGTCACCCGTCACCATGGCAGATAGCTTTCACTTATTTAGCAGTATTATTCTTAAGTTAAGTGATATATTCCATACTTCTACTGTCTACAATTCTAAAGCCTTCTACGTAGATTTCAAAAGTGGCAGACACAAGCATTGAGAGGCTGGTGGAAACGTTCACTGACCTGCCTCAGTGGCCGGTCAGAAACAAAACCGAATGTCAGCTTCAACATACATGTTGGTCCTGCCATATCTTTTCACAAGATCTGTTTCAAAAGCAATACGTGAGTTTCAAGGGTGTGACAGTCATCAGAGTTACAGTGTAATGTTAAGGCAAACCTAGATTTTCATTTTCTTTTAAGCATAATTGCTCTTGTATTTCTATTTTACTTCTTATACTAGCTGTATATACCTCGTATTTATTTGTTTACTTCCCTATAGGTCTGTATTTATTTATGTTGTTTGTGCTGCTGCAAAACCTGAATTTCCTCTCTTGAGAACAATAAAGGCTTATCTTCGTGTCTTTATCTTTCCTTTCAGACCAATGGGGATGAACAGCAGGACGGTGCTGCCCTATCAGTGAACCCAGCCAGCCGAGAAGCCCCCTCATCCTCCAAGCAGAGACACAAAGACGAACATCAAGACCAGTGAACGTCATTCAATTCTTAGTGGATGAAAACCAATGGCTACAAAAATCTGCAGTCTCAGTGTCGAGTTATTTTAGCATGTCTGACTGTTACTCACGAATCATGAAAGGTCAACAGGTCAAGGTAAAAAGCATGAAAAGCTTGTTGTTACAGATGTGTTTTACCCTTTTTACACTGCCTGTGTTCACCCATCTCCTCCCTCCTCTTAGTCTTCTACCTCTTTTATGGTTTCACTTTGATTAGTTGTCCCTCGCTGACCAAACCAGATGAAGTCTTTCTCTGTGAATGATGTATCTATTTCGACCACCCAGAGTTGCTGATTGTCAGAGCAGTGGAGAGACTAAAAGACATGTTTGGTGGAGTTTTATTTTGTTTCTGTCCAGTTTGAATGAAATGTGTTTTAAGAGTTAACAAGCTGAACGGTTCTATTTTCATGTTTATGTGTAGGAATATTTCCCCCACTGACATTTTGTGATTTTTTATATATTTATCAGACAAAAAAAACGATGAGACCTTGCGTAACATAGCATAATCTCTGCTTCCTGGTACATGTAGGCACAGTCAACACATCACAAGAGATCAGCTTTCTCTGTCCATATACTGTAGCACTCACTGGGGACATTAGTCCTTTAGTGCACATTTACCATCTGCAAATGTTCCATTAGAAAATACAATGATGAGCGTCTTGTCCAAGAACACTCTGACTACATCAAGTCTAATGAGATAATGTGTACTGCATTCGACCATCGTGGACTGGACTTTGTGAGAGCACAGATGAACCCATTTTGTGAGTGTAATAAAATTGTAGTTTACAATCAAAATGGAGGCATGAACAAAGTGAACACTGCGAGGCTCTAGGTCTGGTCCTTCTAAAGTTGTATCCCAGTCCTGCACACAGCTCAATCCATGGCAACACACACTGTCCCTGTCCCAGTGACTCATGACTCAGCGTTATAAAGCCACATGGCTTTCGCAGAGTAACTTGCTTCTCCACAACTCAACATTTAACAATGGACAATACAAATAACTTCCAGTATGAGTGTGTCCTAAACTGTCAGCCTGATACATAATGCATTTATATAAGTGCATAAAACCGTGTGTAGATTCACAGCTACAACTGTGTGTACACACAGACGCATCCATACGCCTGGTCCTCCTTTATGAATCTCAAAAGCGCCGAGTGTGAAATTGAGAAGCTCATCGGTGAAGTCGAGAAAGGAAATTGCGTTTTAATTGATAAAGCCCAAAAAAACGTCTCTGAAATCACAAATGATTTTTTTTTACAGAGGCTATAAACAAAGAAAGCACTTATCTACAGTGGAATATAGATTATATTTTTGTCCCCACAGTAATGGAATAGTTGGGGATCACGAGAGAGACAAAAGAAAGTGCCCACTCGTAATCTATGCATCACACCAAGACGTGATCGTCTGTTTGAGCCGGTCATCGGGGCTCCGGAGGGAAGGGAACATTCTTTTATGCCACTTTACGCAACACAGCACAGGCCCGGTAATCTGGCACACCTTTTGAGATAAGATAAGTGTCCCTGTAGGGGAATGTATTCTGGCCTCTTTACTGCTGTTCCACAGTAGTTAAAATAACATAACTTGTAAAAGTTTGCATACACACAAATTCTGATAATGTCAACATATCGCACAACCCCCATTGCCAACATTCTACATTAGCTGTTGGTGTTGAGACTCTAATGGACATAGACAGGAATGAACGTTTACATGGGTTCAGTCTGCTCTGGGGGATCTGGATTCTACCAGTGTCACAATCTCAAGTAGCTGGTTTACACCCAGACGCAGATCAAGAGTTGAGGAGGCAGCAGCTGGAGTACAGTACAGGTAACAGGAGACAGTCCTAAAAGCTAAGAAAACTTCCCACTGAGGAAAAGTAAACACATACAATATGTGAGAGACGAATCAACTGATGAAACACAGGTAAGGTAGAAAACAGAAGTAAACCCTTTCAAAATGAAACAGAGAACAGACTAGGCCATGTCCACATTACTCCGTTTCCATTTGGAAACGGATATGTTTTGCTACGTTTACGCTGAGCGTCCACACCATGCCGGAGTTTTCGAGCACCGAAAACGTAGGAGTTTGAAAACGCTCCCGAGGACGGATAAGTTTGAAAACGCCAGAGTTGCTTTGTCGTGTGGACGATCGAAAACGGATAAGTTTGAAAACAATGACGCCCACATCCGCGTTCGCTACTTGATTGGTTCTTAGCAGTCATGACGTGTCCTTCCCTGTTTCGTCACACTCCTATCACGTGACCCTTACCCGGAAGATCACAAACATTAGCATTGATTACCGATCGACTACCAGCTTAATTCAACATGGACAACTGATTACAGGTGTTGCTGACCTTGTTGTCTTTAATAGCAGCTGTTGTGCAGTTAAAGTCTGCATTATTACAGAGGAAGCAGCTGTTATTGGAGCAGTGTGACCAGCGGCGTTATCAGACCTACAGAGCGGCCATCTGAAGTCACGTTAGTGGCTTTAGGGAGGGTGATGGACACAAAACGGAGGACTTTCCTGTCCTTATTAATGCTTATTTTGTTCTGCACAATTATTGTGAAGTCCACAGATAAAATGTAAAGGAAGAAAACATGAAATCGAGTGAGACGTGTGTTGACCACATTTATGGACCCATAATCTAGTAAACCTTTATGTGTAAGTGTTGATTTTAAAGTAAATTTGATGTGTGAGAGATAGAGCAAGACCCCCAGCGCTGTAACTAAGTCTGAAAAATAAAACATCTAAAACTTTCCACGAAATGTGTCTGTTTGAGTTCATAGAGGAAGATTTTAAAGTTAGATCTTAAGTATCAAACACGACCTTTCATTCTTAAAGACTACTTGATATTGTATTTTTTTTTAACTAAACAACCAATCTACTTCCTGTTTACACCGGCACCATCACGCCCAGTGTACGTGAATAGTCACGTGATATTCGTTTAAAACAAATACGTGTTAGTGTGGATGTAGCCTACATACTGGGTACAACTAGTTAAAAAAAAGAAAAATAGCATTTGTTTGACCCATTCGCCTTCCCTCCTTTCTGCCACTTTAGAGAAAAGATCCCACCACCGCTATGTCCCTGTCAAGTCTAGGGATAAGGGAAGAAGACAAGCCGGTGTAATCAGGCGTTGATTGTCATTTATTGCCAAAGGACCCCAAAAAACAAGCAACAATACAGAAAAGAAACCCACAATCACAGATAAATCAACTGATGTTGGCACGTAAAGAAAAGGCCATGGAATGGTGCCACATCAGCAACCAAACAAATCAATCTCTACTATGCATCTTAAATTCACAGGTGCAGAAAATACAAGTAAAATAAATAGCTGCCTATCTTAACTTAAGGAGCAACCACACAAAGGACACAAATGAAAATGCAAACACAATAACAAACTAATCCCTGTCAAGTCCACAAAACTAGTGCCTCTTTGTTAACACCCTGTTATACATCAAAATTGAAAACACAAAGTTCAAGGACACAGCATCCCAGTTTATCAATAAGAAGCACAATGGCGAACTGTTCAATGAAGATCATCACCTCCCCGGTTGTGAGTCCCAGATGTCTCGATTTGAGAAGACAGCCGTGGGATTGGGGGATGGGACTGATGACATCAGAGCAAAGGGAAACCTCCATGGTTTGGACCGATCCCAGGGTGTGAGGCTGTGAGAGGAACAACAGTGCATCGCTGTCTACAGAGAGAGGACGTAACACACATGATGGGCATGACACAGCTTCATGTTGACCGAGATATTCCAGACCTGTCCGCCAGCCTCCTCTCAAATGTCCCTGTTGCTAGGTACCCTTCCCTGAGTAGGTTGTCGGTTTTTGGGCTCCGAGCATAGGTTGAGCTCCACCTAACAAAATCAACACCACACATCATCGGCAGCAAAACGCTGTATGACGCTATGTTCACACTACGAGCGACAAAAGCTATAAAACGGCCAAGCTACATTGTCAGAGAATAGCCGCTGAAGTGTTGCTCAAGCGCTTGTTGACGTAGTTATGTTGTTAAAGAGACAAAATAGATTGGAAAGGAATTACCTTGGATTCCTCGGACGCCTCAAGCGTGAGGTAGAAAATTAGAACAACCTCTAATACTTAATCTCGTTTTAAAGCCGCGACCAATACGCACAGCTGAAGCTAATTATAGCACCATAACTGTTATTTACAAATAACCTAAATTATCATCAGCAGTGATGTTCAATTCTCATCAAAGGAACAAACATCTTCTTATTGACAGCAGCTTCACACCATTTCATTAGGCACTGGAATGTTGCTACGTCAGTGAGAATGTTTAACAAGGCACAAAAGTCACATGTTCAGCTTGCATACAAGATCCAGCAGGTCAAATAAAAAAATATTCATCTGGCCGGAAGAAAGAAATCACTCCTAGGTTTGGTGTGGAATTGTACTAGGCTTTATTGAGATCCTGATTTTCTTGATGATCACCCACTCCTTCTGCCCAGCTGTGACTTTTATCCTCAGACAAGAAGAGCTAAAACTATACTTTTTGTCTATCTCTAGCTTCTCAAACCTCCCATTCTCTAACGTCCCCACTGACTGGAACTCTTTACAACTCTTCTCCCCTTTCTCTGTGGTAATCACGTTATGGCCTATCTCCACCTGAGCTGACTCCAGGAGGTCTTTACCCTCTGATCCTGTTTCTACAAATATCCCCATCACTACTGCAGGCTCTGTGAACACTGCAGTCAGGTAAGTTCCGTTTTCTGGGGAGCGTCCCCAGAAAAATCCCTCACCAGCATCCAAGGCCAGTTTGGGGTAGTGTTACTTGTAGGTGGACATATCAGAATAAACCTCAGCTGAAGGATTGGTGTATAACAATTCCTCAAAGTTCTTGTCCTTTAGCTTGTTGTAAGTCCCTTGGAACGAGGAGTAAGTCCCCATGTGTTGGAACAGTGAGGGTTTGAAAATGATTGGCTCCCTTTGTGTCAGCAAATCTCGGAAACGAGACATTAACCAGTCGCAAGGCATTTCCGGGTAGAAGAGGAAGAGGAAGCGGGCTAGGAGAGGAAGATGGCCTTTGTATAGTTTACCAATGTAGCCGAGGACTGAGAATTCCAGCATTGCCCAGGTGGTCTTCTTCGCCTCTTGCTCCTCAACGCGCTTCCTGATGGTGGAGAGGAAATTTTTTGCAGAGGAGACGTCGTCCTCCAGCTGGAGGTAGTATTTGCCAAGACCGGCACTGTAGTGGATCAGGAAGGAGTAATCCAGGTTCTGCTTGGGGCGGAACGATACCCTTTCTGGAGCATCGTTGTAGTTCCTCTTTAGACCTGCAGGAGAACCAAAGAGACCTGTATCAGTATTCAGGCTACAACCTCCAGTTCTGAAAAGTGAAGCCAAAGCTGAAGTGTCGTAAAGCTGCATTCTCTCTACTGTCCATCAGGGGGCGACTCCTCTGGTTGTATAGAAGTCTATGAGAAAATGACTCTACTTCTCTCTTGATTTATTACCTCAGTAAACATTGTAAACATGAGTTTATGGTCTCAATCTCTAGTTTCAAGTCTTCTTCAATACAGCATGATGTTCATTTAGTAAATGATGGTCCATTTAGAGTCAAATCCTAAATATGTCTCATTCAGAGTTTGGTTGTACTTAGCTCCACTCGTGTCACTTCTGGTTCCAAAAAAACAAGATGGCCACGGCCTAAATGCTTAATTCATGGCTTCAAAACAGTAGTTCACAAACCAATGGGGACAACACGGTGACTACGTCCACTTGTTTTGTACAGTCAGTATCACACGTCAACCAGACACTCATGACATAGATGTGAATCAAAGAGTACACAAGTAGTGCTCCTACACCTGTACACAGTACTACACCTGTAAGAGAAGGGTACTGATCCTGAGGAACATGGAGGACCACCAGCTGGCCCTGTTCCAGCTCCAAAGCAAATGCACTTTTGATCTCCACCGCTGTAGTGACTCTCCAGCTGACATCAAACTCTGCCAGCAGCACTACCACCACCATGGAAGAGCGCTCTTCAGGAGATGACTGTAAGAAGAGGGACTTCAAGGTGGGGATTAGATAGCTGCCCTTCTTCCTCTTCACTGATGTAACCAGATTCATCTGTTGAGTGACCATTCCAGTAGAAGCCCAGTACTAATGGTAATTCATGTTTATGATCTATCACTCTGCAGTTAGTAATCAAGCCATCATTAATACTTACCTCTCTCTATTCTCTAACCCTTATCTAATATACCTTTAAACTGTCCTTGACTCTTACTCTCACCAAAGCAAAGAGTAGATACTCAGCTACATAATCAGAATTTACATCTACATTGTATTTGCTCAGGGGCATCAAAACTAGCCCTGGGGCACAGGGGCACCAAAACTAGCCCTGTCGGGTTGCAGCTGAAAAGCTAACAGAATACAAACATGAAATTATAGTCGGATCTACTTGTGCCCTAAATGAAGCAGTGATATTATAAATCAATTAATTTAAACACATTCACACAGTCCTTCCTGCATTTATCAGTATAGACTGTGTTGCTTCCAGCCAGAATTATGTGTTTAACTTCTTCATATTTGTCTAATACAGAGGTTTACGCTTCATTTGTAAAATATGCAGCTCTGCTGACAGCAGACATGTCCATGTTTGGGACCCACACACTCAATACAGTCCTACAAAAGAATCTTCAGCAGGCAACAAAGCATACCGTTCTGTCCATAACATCACCAGCTAACACCTCAAGCTAACACCAACTAGCTATTGACATGCTAAGCTATGGTGGCGCCCAACCAGTTCAGTTAAAGGAGCTGTATTTAACATTCTGAACATTAATATAGCAGCAAACAACTATTGTCAATGGAACGATATAGTGGAGTAATGTCTACCTGAGCAGAGAATGAAGTCACTCTCTCTCTTTGTGTGTTGTAATCCAAGCTGCTCCTGGCTTTGTTGACATAGCCGGGCCGGCTGCGCATGCTTTGGGTGCATGTGAATGATTACGTACGTAAGTGTGTGCATGAAGTTTGGTAAATGAAGTACACAGAGTGCAATAGCTTGTCATGGTATGAAGGGCATTTACCACCAAAGATGGCAAATTGACTTTCCAGATCGGTGTGCTATTAGTGAGTGAGCAGAATACACAAGTGACCGAATATTCAATGATAAAGACATGTAAATACACATAATATACGGTAAATATTCAAATGCTAAAGCGTATACTGAAATGGTGTGTTTCATTTAATTACAATAGGCGCAAAAGGAAAAGGAGGTTACCATGAGTCTGTAACAGTTCACATTTTATTTTCAGCTTGTACAATGGTCTTGGACATCATTTTTGCACAAAGTTAATGACCATCACATCAATTCTTCTTTCACCAAAAGGGGCAGACAAGGTGTGTAACTCACTCTGTTGAGTAGATGGGGCTCCAGCAAGCACCTGATAGGACACATTGAGAGGCAGATAATCTCCCCGTTCCACCCACGACTCTTTACTAACCAACCTCTCTCCTTGAAAAGTTAACTCATTTGGAATCGGTTCGTGTGAAATTATCCAGCCCTGCAAAACAAATATATTTATTGATCGATCAGAATTAATTACAGTTGTGACACTGTTTCCATACACTGAAGCATGAAACAAAGTTAGGGAGGCATCGATCAGGCTTTTTCAGGCTCGATGAGGATACCTGGGCTTCAAGTGTCGGCCGATACGAGTACCGATCCGACAGCGTTTCATTAATAGGCTGTATGCCTCACTGTGTGGAAGAGACTGGGATCATTATTTTACATGTAAGGCAACATCAACCATGACTTCAAAATTGCTTTCCTAATTTTGTAAATCAAAACTTATTGTAACAATAAATCGTACACCAGCAAGTTGGTAAAAATTCTAAATTAACAGGAAGTGTAAACCTTTTTAATGCAAACTGGTCAAAACTTAAACAGGAATTATCGTCACAGTAAAGAAATCATATATTCTATAGAATTCTATAGAATTGAAGTAAATAGAACAGCCCCATGGTCACCGAAACGTGTTCCAGCTATTTGAGTCAGTATTGGTGCATCCCAGTGAAAACGTGAGTGTTGCAACTAATGGCCAGAAATGTAAGCCTTGTGTGTGTGTGTGTGTGTGTGTGTGT